TTCATAGCCCATTCATGTCGTTGGTGATCGAGTTCTTCACGGTCACAGTTGACCAAACATGAATGAATGTGTAGCTCCTTACAGGGCCTGGTACGAAATTACTAACTCGAAGGCTCATCCTTCCTGAAGATGTAATTATTCTTATGTCAAACACATATAACCATTCGTACACATAGAAAAACACACACACATACACTCATTCTCTCCCTTTCTCTGTCTGTCTGTCTGTCTGTCTGTCTGTCTCTGTCTGTCTGTCTGTCTGTCTGTCTGTCTGTCTCTCTCTCTCTCTCTCTCTCTCTCTCTCTCTCTCTCTCTCTCTCTCTCTCTCTCTCTCTCTCTCACACACACACACACACACACACACACACACACACACACACACACACACACACACACACACACACACACACACACACACACAAACTCAAAAACATATATACACAGACAATCATAACAACATAAACGATAAAGGAAAAACGCACAGACTACCCGACCACTAACTTGAACCAATGTTTAGAAAAGAAAAGAAACGGTCAGTCACTGTTTGGTGATCCGATACTTGTTTCTTCTGCGTACCAGGTGATGCGATAATGATCTACGATGGCCTGAAATTCGAATGGACAACTCCAGGTTATCCCAGTAACTACGAGGACGGAATCAACATGACACTCGCCTTCAGGGTAAGATGAGATTGAATATAGTTGAGTCATTAGTAAAAGACCTTCATCCTTCGAGTAAGTAATAATGAATTGATTTTCCTTGCAGTTTCCCGAAAGACATTCACTTTACATTGCCACACTGGTCTTCAATGGCCCGGCCCGCATTGCAGGGGATACTTGTGACACCGACTACCTACTTTACACCTCCTATGGCATTGGAACGCGGTCAGTAACAGCACAATAATAGATGAATTCTGAGTATACTTCTCACGTAAAAAATCAACACAATAGTAAATACACGCAATCGCCTTCAAATGAACAACTTTTCCACCCCCAGATATTGTTCGGATTTCAGCAACACGACAATAATAGAGCCTGAATTTAATGGGAATGCGAGAGTTTTTACACTACAGTTCGTGTCCTCGGCTGCAGACAACGCTACGGATATTGGCTTCAACATGACTCTGTCGGGTAAGTGAGGCGAAGGAATGTTTGATATATCTGATATTTCCTCGGACTGCATTTCCTTGTCTTTGAAAACCGTTCATTCCTGAGATAACGTACGAAGTGGTGTGTATATATATATATAGCACCAATACAAGGGTAATAACGTGTCTCTATAATTATGTAATGTTAACCTTCTGTTCGCAGCTTTCGACATGTCCTTGAAACCGTTCGCTAAAAGAAAATACTAAAGTCGTGAAGAAATGTCGGATATCGCATTGCCAACATTATTAATAATATCTTGAAGTTTATGGTGGTGGTGATGATAATGATGATGGTTCTTATTAACATCGATTATTAATAACGCTGATATAATTGCATTAGTGTTGTTTTTATTGCTGTTATTATTATGATTATAATGATATTAAGAGCAACAAAAATATTATAGTTTTGATAATAATAATGATAATGATAACAAGGATAATTATCATTATAATGATAATAGCAATAATAATAGTAGTAGTAGTAGTAGTGATAATTAATATTATACTCCTTGGGTGTTGGCACTTGAGTTGGAGTTCTACACAGTTTTAATTGCGAGGACCTTTCTAATAATATGGGCAGAGCCTAGGAGGGCAATTTTCTGGATTTCGTTGATGTTGATGCATCCGGGCATCTCCTTCAGGCACTTTTCTTTAGCTTTTCTTATCATTCCTAGGTTACCAATGATACTAGCAACAGCAGATGCTTTTATGTTCCACATGAGTTGGATTTCAATTTCTATATCTTTGTACTTTGTACATTTCTTTCCGATGGAATGGATATATCTAGAAGCCAACATTTATTCTCCTTCCGGTCTTTGATTACTGTGTCTGGTCTGTTAGCTTTGATTTCTCTATCGGTGGTAATGGGCATATCCCAAAGAACTGTTATTTCTTCTGTGTTGGCTACTTTTTTATTTTTTTTTATTTATTTATTTTTTTTTTTTGGCTCGTGTTCATACTAGTGCTCACTGACTTTGATGTTGTAATGCTTCAGGATCTTATGATGAACATATGCTGCAACTTTGTTATGTCTGTGGATGTACTCTTGGACAGCCAGATGTTATATGTTCAATGGTTTCTTCAAATTTACCACAAAGGCGACATATTGGGTTGGTTCCATCCTTTATTCTCCGGTATGTGTAGGATCTTGTTGGTTTACATTGATCTTGAGCAGCTACGATCAGACCTTCGGTTGTTGGTAGATGACTTGTCAACATCAGCTTTTTCATGGCTTTAAGGGTACTTTCCATGCACTACTGCGTTTCAGGAGTCTTTCATTTGCGATTGCATGTTGTTTATGACCTTTTGCTTGTCTCTTTTCACTTTACTATTATTATTATCATTATTATTATT